TTAGATCCTGTTTGGCCTTTTCTTAGGCCATGGGTGCTTGGAAAATGAGGAAGCTGCAACAGCATCAATGCAGGGACACTATCCGATAAATGCAGAAGTGGAGGTGATTGGGCCTTATCCAACAAGCTCCCTGTGCCTGCCTAGGAACTTAACCACCTGCCTTAAAGAAAATGTCCATTTGGGATCCTCCCGCCTGCTCCTTCTAGGTGCCACTGCTCAGGGTGAGCTAAGTCTCATCGAGCCACCTCAGGAAGCTAAGGTCCCCGGCTTCCCTGATTCCACCTGGTCTGACGCTCCAGCCTCATCATTGCAGCCTTGCGTGTCTGATGCCCCCAGCCAGGACACCCACCAGCTGTGAAGCCTACAAAGGCTGGGATACCTCCAGGAGCCAGGCCGAGATCCTCAGAATCTCTACCTTCCCACTGCTTGCCCCTGCGACACAGACACACACTCACACTCTCACATGCCACACAGTCACACACACCACACAAACAAATGTAGACAACACAACACATTCACATACACCACACACAAACACATGCACACAACACACACATAACACACAAATTACAGAATGCACACTACACACCTCCACACACAGACTGCCAACACACAACACACAGTCACACCACAAACATATGCACATAACACATCACACACAGCACACAAACACGTACAGATTACACAATACAGAACACACACACCCCATGCAAACACATGCAGACTATACAACACACACTACACAATACACACACCACACAATACACACACCACACAAGCACATGCAGACTACATAATACACACTACACACACTACACAATGCACACATCACACACAAACACATGCAGACTACACAACACACAAAACACAAACGTGCAGACTATACAACACACACACACCACACACAAACATATGCACACTACATAATACAAAACACACACAACACACAAACACCTGCAGACTACACAATACACACACCACATACACTACATACCACACACACACACACCACACACCACACAAGCACATGCATACTACACCCACACAACACACACACTACACAACAAAACCACACACACACGCACCAGACACTACACTATACATACCACACACACTACATACCACACAGACCACATACACACACCACACAGACACTACACAACAAAAACCACACACACACCATAGAAACACACATAATACACACAGTACACAACACATACTCACATACATGCACCACACACACAGGCACACACATTACACACCACCCATACACATGCCACACACACATTACACACCACACAAAACGTACACACATTTTACACACATTCTTACTATGCCCACACAAACTCACTCACATATGCACAAACATGCAAAGACATGTAAATACAGAGAGAGACACACAAGCATATGCACTCTCACACACACGGATGGCAATGCTCAGAGAGCTGGAGCTCTCCAGGCTGGCTCCATTTTCCAGCTCCCCCACCCAGAGGACAGGATCTGTGCAGGCACACGTGTGTGTGTGTGTGGGGGGGGTGTGTGTGTCCCCTGCAAGCTGGAGGGCGAGCCCCTCTTCTGTCAGGAGGCCTGTGCCCCACCCTGCATGCTTGCAGTCTTGCTGCCCCTCTGTGACAGCAGCTGTCATACTTGTCATCACTTCTATCTTCTGTTCTTCCCTCTCTCCTAGATTATAGGCTTTCTGAGGCCAGACATTCGGTCCCATTCATCACTGTACTCCCAGTGCCAATTCTGGATCTGGCACGGCAACATTAGTTCATGGAATAAGTAAAGAAAGCAATGAGTGATAGACGGGAGGGACAGAGACAGGGAGAAAGAGCAAAAAGTACTTCGTTGCCCAAACCCTGCGTTCTAGTTTGTTTTTAAAGGGCCCTGGAATTTATTCTGTATATGACAGAGTGCGTGGCAGAAAGAACTGATAAATGTAGCAAGTTTATGTTGAAAATTTCATTAAAAGTGACAAGAATATCAAAGACCTAGAAATAGAAATACCACTTGACCCAGCAATCCCCATTACTGGGTATATACCCAAAGAATTAAAATTGTTCTGTTATAAAGACACATGCACACGAATGTTCATTGCAGCACTGTTTACAATAGAAAAGACCTGGAACCAACCCAAATGTCCATCAACAACAGACTGGATAAAGAAAATGTGGCACATATACACAATGGAATGCTACACAGCCATAAAAAACGATGAGTTCCTGTCCTTCATAGGGACATGGATGAATCTGGAAACCATCATTCTTAGCAAACTGACACAAGAACAGAAAACCAAACACCGCATGTTCTCACTCATAGGCGGGTGTTGAACAATGAGAACACATGGACACAGGGAGGGGAGCATCACACACTGCAGTCAGTTGTGGGGGTGCTAGGGGAGGGACAGAGGGGGTTGGGGAGGGTGAGGAGGGATAACAAGGGGAGAAATACCAGATGTAGGTGATGGGGGGATGAAGGCAGCAAACCACCTTGCCATGTATGTATCTATGCAACAATCCTGCATGATCTGCACATGTACCCCAGAACCTAAAGTACAATAAAAAAAAATGAAGATTAATTAGTGGGAAATGACAAAATTAATGGATAATGTAAATTTGATTTTATTTCTGGATTCTCTATTTTGATTTTCTAATATATTTTCCTATCTTTAGGATAATAAATAAATAAAAATATGTTGCTTGAATAATGAATGGGTCTAATCTACCTTGTGGAGGCTCACAGCATGGCTACTGTCCTGCAAATTTAGGTGAGAATAATATAATACCAGCAGTAATATTTTTAAATCCTAGGTTAACACAGAAAACACCTTGCTTTCTTGTCATCTGAATCAAATAAGATTGATAGTTGGAGAAAAATATGAGTGTTTTTATCTTAAATTTTCCTCCAACATAGTAGAAAATGGATTGAAAATACTAATAACTGCCAAGTGTGGTGGCTTACACCTGTAATCCCAGCACTTTGGGAGGCTGAGGTGGGTGGGTGGGTGGATCACCTGAGGTCAGCAGTTCGAGACCAGCCTGATCAACATGGTAAAAACCCATAACTACTAAAAATAAAAAAAAATTAGCTGGGCATGGTGGCAGGCACCTGTAATCCCAGCTACTCGGGAGGCTGAAGCGGGAGAATTGCTTGACCCCAGGAGGTGGAGGTTGTAGTGAGCACTCCAGCCTGGACAACAGAGTGAGACTGTCTCAAAAAGAAAAGAAAAGAAATATCAGTAACCAAGGTGGTTAATTGGAGTAAAACATACTAAATATGTCGTCAGATCCCCCAACCATCAGAAACAGCTGATCAGCAAGGAACCTGAGGGAGGTAAACAGGGTAACCACTTCAAATCAGCCTGTCCTGGCTGCAGAAAACTGCCTTGTAAGGCTCTGCCTTGCGCGGCTCATGCACACACACACACACACACACACACACACACACACACACACACACAGAGTCTCTTTCTCCACCCTTTTCTCAGGGGCCTGTTGAGCCTCAGGACCACAGAGTTGCTGAGCTTACATTTCTACTGTCTGGGTTTTGGAATCAATCCAAAGCGGCTGTCTATTCTCCCGGGCCCTGGTCCCTCCTGCCCGCTTATATTCAGCAATCAACTCTCAAACATTGTAATTTGGTGAATAAAAACCTCTTGATCTTGGAAGACTGTAAGTTAGATGAAACCTTGTTCTTTCTCTGCATTGTGGCTCTGCTGGACACTTCTGGCCACCTCTGTGTCTCCAGCCCTGACCAGGAGGGTCATCAAGCTGATACCCCCAGGTAAGCAGGCAGGCCTGGATTTGGACTCCCCAGGAGACCTTCCAGGGCTCTTGAGTGCCAGGTCCTGGCATGGGGGTATCTGTGGCATGCCAGGGTGAGACTGAAAATAGTCTACACATCCTGAATGTTCATGGCATTACATGTGAATTTTAATTACCTGAATTTTAAAAATAAAAAAATCAGCTTATGTGAGTAACTGGAAAAAAGATAAACTGCCATCCTTTCAAAGCAGGCAGAATGAATACAAACTATGTTTTTACCACTTCATATTGCTCCGTATTACCTCCAGGCCATGGAAGCATTTACCTCTTCAATGGCCTGGAGGTAATATGGAGCAAATCAGACATATCACGGAAGGCTTCCTGCAGGAAGGGCCACTTGTCTGGAACATGTGTGGGGTTTAATGTGGTAAGCGAGGAGGCAAACACTTGAGGTGAGGGGGACAGCAAAGGCCCTGTGGCAGGAGGCAACATGACAAGAATGAAGGTGGGGAGGAGACAGTCGAGAGAGTACAGATGTGACAAGGTGACAAGGGAGGAGTGGCTGGAGCCAGGATACACAGGCACATAGGCTGTGCAAGAGAGTGGACTTCACCCAGGACCTGGGGAGCTATGGAGGGGCATTTTGAAAAGATCCCTTTGGCTACAGTGTGAGGCATGAATTGGGAGGAGTGAAATTGTGAACGATACATGACTCTTAAGGAAATTAAAAAGAATCTTAAAAATGAGAAGGCCCTAGGTGCAGCCCTAAGTAAAACCAGAGGCATCTGCAAAGTAGAGCAAAGGAGTTGCCGACAGGAGAATCAAGAGATGATCTAGGGAAGAACAACTGCCCAAAGAAGGATCCATGTCAGCGGAGTCGGCTGGACGGTCACAGCGGAGGAGGCGGGCACTGGGTGTAGGCACGGAGGACCTAGGCAGCGTCAGCAGGAGGGGCTGTGCTTGCAGTAATGGGTTCAGGCTAAATGGGAGAGGGCTGAGGAGAAAGAGAGGAAATAGTAATTTTCTAGAAAGGAGAGGAAAGAGGTAGGATAGTACCTGGGGGAGGAGGAAGTTGTCGAGTGAAGGATTCTGCTGCTGTTATTATTGTTTAGAATGAGATGATTTCCTTGTGCTTAAAACCCAACGGGCTTTCCACCTGAATATATTGCATCCATCAGACTTATCTTCTCACACTCCTGAAACTCCATTCTAGTGGCAATAAATTTACCAGATATGAAGTCCAGAGGGATGAAGAAAGCTGGACCAGAGACATCAGGGGGAAAGACAGCTCAGCAAACGTTTGGGAGAGGAGAAGTGGATGAAGGGCTGGAACCTGGCTTAGCAAAGTGGAAGAGGCTGCGACCTGGACTTGGGGAGGTGGATGCTGACAATGAGCTTGCCAGATTGTCCTCCAGAGCCAAGACAGAACTGCATGGGCCTTGGGTATAAGACACCTGATTCAGGAGCACAGGAGAGCAAACCCCTGGGTGTCGGAGCTGGAATCTCAGGATGAAGCTGTGCAGGAGGCTCATTCATGGTCATCTCCCCTTCTCCTCTGCCTTCTTTTACTGCCACTGGGAAGCCTGAAGCTTCACACCAGGAGACTTATCTCCCATCAGCTTCTGGTGAAGTCCATTCCCACTTGGTCTACAATGCTGATGTTTGCAAACCACATCAAACATTGCTGTCTCCTGGGAACCGGTAAATATTGTGGTTGGTTAGAATGGAAGCACTGGGATGAGAGGAGGCTTGTTGGAAGAGGGCATCAAGGGACAAAAAGTGGAAAGACGTCTGTGTGTTTTCGGTAGGGAAAGGATGTTTCCCAGGAGAATGTGTTACATTGAACCATGTGAAATGACCACCCTCACCACCATTTTTAACCATTAAAATGGAATTTTATAGTCATACTAATACGAATTTTACTTAAGAAACATTAAATCTCTCATGTATAAACGCCCTCAGTCTTTCATAAACCAAGCACACAAACCCATCAACACCATCCCAGCCTCCCTTCCTCCCTGATTCTCTTATCTCTTGCTGTCCCAAACAATAAGAGAAGAAACAAAATGGCCAGAGTCCTTCAACTCCAGGAGTCTAAGACAGCTTCTGATCATTGTTTTAGGACTGCGATCTCTCATTAGGAAGGCCCCCAGATGCAAGATCCTAGTTGTAGCCTTAGGATCTTGCAAAACCAGAGGTAAATCATAAACCCCAAAAAACCGCCCTCCTGCAGGGCCTAACCTGTTGTCTGAAGCCCACAGCTAATTCAGAATCCTCTGTAATAGCCTGAAAATAGATGTCACTGTGCTAGAAAGAATCATCTGTAATTCATAAAGGATAGAGTTAATTTCATTCAATAAAAGCTGTGGGGCTGTGGGATGTACTAGGTTTTCATTGACTATAATGGGTACATAGGCATTTAAGGATAAATAAAGGGGAAGAAAGGAAGGAAAAAATGTTGGAGCATTATGCTTTTAAGTTTAGATCCTCTGGCTAGCCAAGAGGAGATAAGTGGATATATTCAGGAAAAATCAAGACTCTAGCTGGGAGCCATGCGGTCATCTAAAAGTCTGAGTTAAGGGCAATGAGCCACTTGAGAAATAGCAAGAAGTGCTGGGGCCAAGCTTAGTTCCATGAAGCAGGAAATGGCCAAGGCAGCGACCAGAACCGAGCACGTCTCTCTAGGCACAGAGCCTGCAGCCCCCAGCCTTCCTCCAGCTTCCCCAGTCACCACCACGGGATCCTGAGATTTGTGGCTGAAGGTTTTGAGTTCCGTGTGCTCTACTGTATTGCCTGGAAAAAGAATAGTTTAGGAAAAAGCACATTCCTCATTGAGACCGCAAGCTCCAGGAACAGCGGCACGACTCAAAACCAAGTCCATGGTATTTCTATGTGCAGTTTTCTGCCACCCCACCTGCCTCATGAGAGGATAGCCCGCTTCCTCCTCACAGAAGGGTCTGCGAGAAGTAGACCCTTGGGTACGGTCTTTAGAACACATTTACCCTTTAAATTGCCTAGTGGAACGTCTCTTGTTAAATCTTTCACACCCATACACACAAAAGTGGGTTTTCTGATTTTTAATTATTTAAAATTTTAATTTTTTATTTAGAAAGAATTGTAGAATCATGGGAATTTGCAAGTGTAAGTAAAGATAGTACAGAGAGTCCCATGTACCCTTCGCTCAGTTCCTCCAATGGTGACACCTTACATAATTGTAATATCAGTACCAGGAAATTGACATTGTACAGCATGTTTGTGTGTGTGCGTGATGTGTGTAGTTCTGTGCCATTTACCACATGTATAGATTCATGTCACCACAACTGCAATAAAGTTACAGAATGATTTCACGAAGATCTCCCTAGTCTCCTTTGTGTTTATACCCATTTCTCTCTCACCACTAGCCCCTCAGTCCTCGCCCCTGGCATCCACTAATCTTTTTCCCATCTCCGTGTATATTATATAAATGAAATTGTTCCCCGACCAAGCTGAGGGTTGGGCTGCTATTTCTTGTGGCCCAATAACGAGATGCAGATGAACTGGGGAGGAAGAGAGTTTTTATTTCTGTAACCAGTTACAGGGAGAAGGCCTGGAAATTATCACCAGACCAACTCAAAATTACGAAGTTTTTCAGAGCTTATATACCTTCCAAGCTGTATGTCTATGTGTTAGTGCATTCATCTAAAGACATAAGTGATTAACTTCTTTTAATCTGTAACTAAGGTCTGAGTTCTGAAGACCTTCCTCTGGAGCCTCAGTAAATTTACTTAATCTAAATGGGTCCAGGTGCTGGGGTGATTACCCTTTTTATGTCTCCTGCTAAACCATGGAAGTTTGAGTAGCTCCTTCAGACCCCCAGTAAACTTGTTTGTGGAGGCCTGGGGAGTTTCTTCAGACCCACAATAAAACTTGTTTAATCCTAAGTGGGTCCTGTTAAGAATTCCTTCATTATTTTGTCATGGCTTAAGGCCCAGGAAAGGCCCGGGCAAAAGTCCTGATGGGCTTTTGTTACATCCCAGCCTTTGTATAAGGCCACTGGCTTTTAATATTTAACTTAACCACTCAGTCAGTTCTGAAACAGTTGTTAGTGAGATCCGGCCTGCCACAAAAATCATACAGTATGTGACCCTTACAGATGGGGTTTTGTCACTCAATGTAATAATCTTGAGATCCAATAAGTTGTTGCATGTGTCAACAGTGGATTCTTTTTATTGCTGAGTGAAACTCCTTGGTCGATGTACCACCATTCATTTAATGATTCGTCAAGTGAGAATGTTTTGGCTGTTTCTAGCTTTTGGCTATTACAAGTAAAGCTGTCGTGATCAATCATGTGCAGGTTTACTGTGGACATTCCACGGAATTCCACAGGGATGAATTTATTTTTAATTCCACTGGGATGCATGCTCAGGAGTGCAATTGCTAGGTTGTTTGGTATTGTATGTTTAATTTTTTTACTTAACTGCTCAACTCCTTTCCAGAGAGGCTGTACCATTTTACATTCCCACTAGAGTAACCCAGCTTCTGCACAATCTCACAGACATTTGGCATTGGCAGTAGCTTTTGTTCTAGCTACTCTCATAGATCTGTAGTGGAATTTCATCATGACCTTTTTTGCGTTTCCCTAATGGCCAGTCATGAGCCATTATCCACGTGTCCTCTGCATATGTTTAGCCCATATTCTATTGGAATTGTTTGATTTTCTTACCGTTAAGTTTTTCATATATTCTTTACCAATTCTAGTTATGAGCCCTTTTGTCAGATCAGCACTTTGCAATTGTTTTCTTCCAGTCTACAGCTTGTCTTTCCACCCTCTTCAGAGTGTCTTTTGCAGAGCTAGGGTTTCATTTTAATAAGGTCCTGTTTATCGATGTTTTTCTTTTATAGATCATGCCTTGCTGTCATTTTAAATTACCTTTCACCAAGCCCTAGACCCCAAAGATATTCTCCTATGTTATCTTGTAAAAGTTTTATTTAAATGTAAAGGGATATTTCATTTAAATATAAAAGCTTCATTTAAATGTATAAGGGGTATAAACCCTTTACATTTAAATGTATGATCCACTTTGAGTTAGCTTTTGTATTAGGCATAAGGTTTAGGTCAAGGTATATTTTTTTGCTTATGGATAGCCAATAGACCCAGCACCATTTGTTGACAAGACTATCACTTTTTCACTGGACTGCTTTTGCACCTATGTCGAAAATCTGTTGACCACACCTGTGTGGGGCTATTTCTGGGCTCTCTATTCCATTCTATTGATAAATGTATCTCTCCCTCTACCAGTATCACGGAGTCTTCAGTAAAGTAACTATATATTAAGTATTGGAGTCTGATAAAGTGGCAGGTCTCATTTTATCTTCAGAATTGTTTTAGACATTCTAGTTTCTTTGCTTTCCTATGTAGATTTTAGAGTAATCTTATCTATATTCACAAAAAAATCTTAGTGAAATTGTGATAGTAATTATGATAAGCCTGTTTACCAATTTGGAAGAATTGGCACCTTTCTTATTTTGAGTATTCCAATCCATGAACATGGTATGTCTGTCTTTATTTTTGTTTTTTATTTTTCTTTTCAGCACTTTGTCTTTTTCAGCATACGTATCCTATATGTATTTTTTTGGATTTACATGTGAGAATTTTATTTTGTTTTACTGATTGTATGAGATATTAGATTTTTAATTTCAGTTTCCATATGTTCATTGCTAGTATATAAAAATACTATTTATTTGTAGGTGTTGGCCTCGTATCTTGCAACCTTGCTTATTAGTTCTAGGAGGTTTTTGTCCTGGTGTTTGTTTGTTTTGTCTTGCTTTGCTTTATTTTGTTTTGTTTTTATAAATGCCTTGAGATTTTCCATGCAGACTATCATGTCATCTGCAAAGGTGACAACTTTATATCTTTCATGTAGATCTACATGCCTTTATTTTCCTTTATTTCCTTGGCCAGAACTTCCAGTACTATGTTGAATAGAAGCAGTGAAAGGGGACATCTTGTTTTTTCCCAGATCTCAGAGAAATGCATTCAGTCTTTCACCATTAACTGTGATAATAGCTGTGGCTTTTTGCAGATGTTCTTTATCATATTAAGAAAGATCCTTTCTATTTTCAATTTCCTGAGAGTTTTATCACAAATGGGCCTTGCATTTTGTCAAATGTTCTTTTCTGTATAAATTGATATAATCACATAATTTTTTAAAATTAAGCCTGTTAGTATTGTGGACTATAGGGCTTGATTTTTAAAGTTTTAACCCAGCCTTTTACCTTTGGAATAAACTCAACTTGATCGTAGTACATAATTATTTTTGTATATTGCTGAATTAGATTTGCTCTGTTTTCTTAAGAACGTTTGTTTCTCTATTTATGAGGGCTATTGGTCGTATCATGTTTTGGTACTGTCTTTGTTTGGTTTTAGAGTAAGTATCCTACTTGCTTCATAAAATGAGTTGGGA